GAGGGGTGTGGGGGGAGCCCCCCATCTCCGGGGGCACGTACCCAAGTCGGCGAAGCTCTCCATGGCCTCTCGGAGGCGGGTTCGCAGGGAGTCGCGGTGCTGGGCCAGCGTCAGCTGCAGCAGGTGAACCCCTGGGGGACAGGCAGACATTGCTGGGGGGCAGCCGGCCCCACGCGCACCTGGCACCCCTCCCCCAATGCCAGCCGAGATGCCGGGCACCTGTCATGTGGTCCACACCCCCTTCCGGAGACCCACAGCCCCACTCCCGCCCCCCACCTCCCAGCCACTGCCGGCTCCTGCCCAGCATCCCTGCCCCCCGGGACCTCCAGCCCTGCCCGCCCCAGCCTGGGCCACTCTCAGCCCCGCCAGATCCACCCCTCCACACACACTCACCTTTCCAAGGCGTCTCCTTGAGAGCCCTCAGCCAGCTGCTCAGAGCAGTTTTCACAGCCAGCATCCCGCGGACATCTGTACAGGGAACCAAGGGGTCAAAGGGGGCACCCTCTGCCCCCCAGCAGCTGTGCCAGTGCTCCTCACTCCTGACCCGCAGCCCCTGCCAGCCCAGCCCTGGGCTCCCACCATAGCTCTGCCGCTGCCCCTCACTCCCGACCCACAGCCCCCTGTTAGCCCGGCCCTTTCCCCCCACCCCAAGCCCTGCCAGTGCCCCTCACTCCCGACCCGCAGCCCCTGCTAGCCCAGCCCTGGGCTCCCTGCTACCCAGCTTTGCCAGTGCCCCTCACTCCCGACCCGAAGCCCCCTGCTGTCCCAGCCCAGGTGCCCCCAGGGGAGGGGCCGCACACCCAGCACCCGGTGGTGTTTCTCTGGCAGGTGGGTGCTGTAGAGGCGCTCAAAGGCCTGGACCTGGCGCTGAATTAGGGCATCCCGGTTGGGCACTTCAGAGGGCACCGCCTCCCCCAGCAGCACCCCCAGCCCCCGCAGGAAGGGCCGGTCGCAGTGCAGGCAGCCGCCCGCCCCCCGGGGGCGCAGCAGCAGCAGGAGGAGCAGGAGAGAGCAGGACATGGCCACAGATCCCCGGCCCCGCTGTGACCTCATCGGCCTGGTGACATCACAGAGCCAGAGGGGCAGAGTGTTCCCTGGGCGGGGAGGAAATGACATCATAGGCAGAAGAGTGGGTTAGAAGGTGTTGGCTGCAACACAAGAAATGATGTCACAAACAGAACTGGGGTCTAATGAGAGGAGTGGGTGTAGAACAGGAAGTGATGTCAGAGGCAGAAGAGGCAGTGTGACAAAGTGGGAATGTTCTTAATGTTTTCTCTGAATACTGTGTGGGTGCCTCAGTTTCCCCTATGCATTTCTTAACTATCTAGGGTGGTGGGAGAAGGGGGTGTGGTTGTTGCAGAGCCCTAGAGGGCCAGTGCGATGGTGTCTGCACAGAGAATGGCCAACACCCTGTCTCCTGGCAACTGATGGCCTGGGGCCCTCCCCTGCAAGTGCCAACTGAAGGTGTTGGAGAACAAAGAGATCAGGTGACCTCCTGGCCCGGGAAAGAGCCGAGGGGCTGGAGAGTTTCAGTTTGAGCTGGCTGGGGAAAGAGAGGCCTCAAGATGGACCTGACTTAGGGGTCCAGTTTCTGTACCTACAAGCTCTGTTTTGGACCGTGTTCCTCTCGTCTAATAAACCTTCTGTTTTAGTGGCTGGCTGAGAGTCACGTCTGACTGCGGAGTCGGGGGGCAGGGCCCTCTGGCTTCCCCAGGACCCCGCCTGGGTGGACTCGCTGTGGGAAGCGCACGGGGGGACGGGGATGCTGAATGCTCCGGGGTCAGACCCAGGAAGGTGGAAGCTGTGGAGGCTTCTTGCCCTGGAGACAGTCGGCTCCGAGAGAGGAGGCTCCCCCGAGTCCTGCCTGGCTTCATATGGAGCAAGTCCAGAGCCTCGCCCGGGGACAGGCGGCTAAAAGAAGAAGTGGCGGCACAACAAGAGATGATGTCAGAAGCAGAACAGGCATCTAGTGGGAGGAGCGGATGTAGAACAGGAAGTGATGTCAGGGGCAGAAGTTAGGGCTAAAGAAGAATTGAAGGCAATCAGGAACTGATGTCGAAGGCAGAATGGGAGGTGATGTTCGCAGCAGAAGAGGGGCTTAGAAAGGATTGGAGACAGAACAGGAAGTGATGTCAGAAGCAGGAAAGGGGCCCAGAGGTGGACTGAGGCAGAATGGGAAGTGATGCAGGATTGCCAACCCTTGACCTTGATCTCCATCCCCCTGCACCAGGCGATGCCCTGTTCCCGCGGGCAGAGTCCCCTGGATCCCAGCCGTGGCCCTGGGGCAGCAGGAGGAAGGGCCGGTTTGAGACACAAACCAGTTCTAGGGAGCTGGCTGGAGAACTTCATTCGAATTCTCATGCGCTCATCAACTCATGGATGGTGGTGATGGGCTCGTTTCTGGGTGTGGGTCCCGGAGTGAAACCTGTTGAGTTAAACTGCCTGTTGAAACACTTCGCGAGCAATTATTGAATATATTGAATATAACAACAGTAGCAGTGAAGGTTTGTTGAAAGTGAAGGGGAAAGTGCAGCCATTGAACGTGTCGGGGGAAACTGAGGCACACACGGGCTTAGTACAAATATTACAGAAAATCCCCCCCTTTGTCACAGGAGATCTGAGGAAAACTGGGATGTGATGTCAGCGGCAGAAGAGGAAGTGATGTCAGACGTAGAAGAAGGGGCTAAAGAAGAATTGAGGCACAAGAAGAAGTGATGTCAGTGGCGGAATAGGAAGTGATGTCAGAAGTGGCACAGACCTTTATGGCAGGACTGGAGGCAGAACAGGAAGTGATGTCAGAGGCAGGAAGGATTAGAAGAGAACAGGAAGTGAGGTCATAGTGGTTGCCGGGGCGATGCTGGTGCTGGTGGTGTTGGTGCTGCCCCTGCTGGCCCCGGGCGCCGCCCCTGCCTGCGCTGCTGGCCGGACGCCCCCGCTACGTCCACTACGACGTGCGGCTGCTGCTGGGGGCGGCGCAGCCCGGGGGGGCCGCGTGGCTGGAGAGGGAGCTGAGTGCGCTCATCTTGGGGGGGGACCACGGCGTCCACCTCATGGGTGAGGGGTGGGGCATGGGGCCCCCCACAAACACCGCCCTGGCCCACCTGTCACAGCACCCCCTGCCCTGCCCCCCATGGCGTCCCCCACTGAGACCCCTCCCACCAACTCCCTCCTGGTGACCCCTGCTGAGCCCCCCGATTCCCCCATAGCAGCTTCTGACGAGCCCCCCCCCACCTCCCTGCTCCCATAGCTCCCCCCTCCCCGCAGCCCAGCGCCCCCTGCTGACCCCCTGCCCCCCTCCCCGAAACCCAGCGCCCCCTGCTGACCCCCTGCTCCCCTCCCCGCAGCCCAGCGCCCCCGCTAAGCCCCCGACCCTGCTCCCTGCAGCCCAGCGCCCCCTGCTGACCCCCTGACCCCCGCCTCCTCCCTGTAGCCCAGCGCCCCCTGCTGAGCCCCCCACCCCACCCCCTACAGCCCAGTGCCCCCTGCTGAGCCCACAGCCCCACAGCCCAG